ATTTTCTTGTTAAATATGTGTGTATGTGTGCATGTGTGTATATTTTAATTGTGGAAATTATAATTAATATTTTTAATGCCAGCACTGCCATTGCCTCTGCCTCTGCCCCTCCATCTTCCTCTTCCTCTGCCTCTGCCTCTGCCTCTGCCCCTACTTCCTCTTCTAAATCCGCACACTTCTCGGATAATGATTCTTAATTGTTGCATCTGTAATCTAAAAAATAATAATACGCATATAGAATCTGCATATAAAATATTTTTTTACTAGCTTTGAGGCTCGCGCGAAACGGAAAAATCTTCTCAATCATGGCATAAAAATGTGCGGACCGTGTATCCATACTATTCTACAATTTTTAGGCGTAGTGCTTCATCTGTTTTTATGTGTGTGTATGTACGTGTGTGCTCGTGTGTATGTTGTATTTCACATTTTAACATTATAATTAAAAAAAATTAATACAAAATATTTTGCATATGTAAAATGTGTATATATAAATTCTTTTAATTAATAATTAAATAATTAAAATTATTCTTTTTAAAGTCAAACTTTAAATTTAATTAGTAATCAATTTATTAAGTAATAGTACATTTCCTAACCAGTCCGGAAGTTAGCGTTTGATCACGAGGGGGGAAGGGGAGAGTTGAACGCACGAACCCAAGGCGAGTGCGGCCATTCCCGACCTCCACGAGTGGTCATTCGCGCTCCCGGACGTGTTAGGAACAGGATTTTACAGCATTCGTGAGTCGAAAAGACGCACCTATGCTGTAAAATTATATAATTAACAATTCTTACTAACATTCAAAGAAACTGGGTTGTATCCGTGATATTATTTGGGATCGCCGCCGCGGACATCATCGTCGCGCTCGTACTCGCTGTCGTCGTTGTCACTGCCATTGCCGCGGACATCCTCGCTGCATTGATAACGGCTGTCATTGTGGTTGTCGCTGGTATTGGCATAATAGCCGCACCCGTGGTGTTTGCATCCGTCAGCGTCGATGTTGTCGTCGAGACCGGCATCGCCGCGCTCGCACCCGTTGCCGTCGAGACCGGCATTGCCGCGCTCGTACCTGCCATCGTCGACGTAACCATCGTCGACGGCGGCAGGTACGACGATGTCACCGGTGGCATTGTACCCGGCGCCGTCACCACCGGCACGTTCGGCGTGTTCACTGGCTAAGAAAATAGAAGAAAAAGAAAAAATTATATATATTCATATACATTTCTTTTATCTTTATATATATATGTACAATATATATGCACGTGTACATATACTTACTTTATCCATTATATATTATATAATGAGATTCTAATCTAACTAGGCAACTGATCACACACTGGCAATGTGACAATCTGAACTGAGACTGAGACGAGATCGCGAGCCGAGATATATAACCGTCGAGACTTCCCGAAACTTCCGCGGCGAAAAGCGAACGAAGAAAGGGGGGGAGGGGGGGTGTGTTTATACTGACACTGACAATGTACATCGATACTATTGTCGTGTGCACAAAAATCTCGTAAGCATTATTCTTGCTATTTCATTTCAATTCGATATCATATAAAGTCATATGATTGTGTGTGTGTGTGTATATATAATAATATTTATATTAATCGTTATTTTTATATAGTAGTATATTTTGTATAATTTTATACTTGGATTTCAGCGCATTTTATCAAAAATGATTATCAAATCAAAAATATAAAAACTTACCGCTGTTACGTATCTATAATTTTTGTCTTGTATCCGTCTTCGATGGGAATCTAAATAAATGAGTTCCCGTGGAATATCGTCCATTACGACAGTTTTTATACACACATTTATCATACACAGTTTCTATATTGCACTGATTACTCATTATTTTTCTTCGTAAAACTCTCGTATATTCAAAAATTTACTTTTTAAATCGCGTCTTCTTCTAGGGCTCACCAAATTACGATTATATTTAACAATAAAAAAAAAGAAATTATTAGTAAAAAAAAATTTGAAAAGGTAAATAGAAAAAAAAGACAGTAAAAAGAAAGAATTAAAATAAAGAAAAAATATAAAGAAAAATTTAAGAAAGAAAGAATAGAAATAAAAATATATTAAGACTTAATTTTATTTAATCGAACACTGCTCCGCGGCACAATTATTAAAAAAACGAAATATCGTTCACAAGCCAACTATCGTATTGTTAAAGATACGAGAGTACTTTTCTTCTCTTTTACCGGACCGATTGTGAGCGACTTTTTATGAAGACGTCGTCTTTTATACCGTCGCGCGCAGTTATATATATACATATATGTGTGTAAAAGACTTTCCGATAATGCAGAAAGCTTGAAACAATATTTAAATCTTTTGATTCAAACATTCTAGCTCGACTTAACACTTTTAACTAATATTTACGTAAACAAAATTATAATTATAATTTGATTTTACTTTTTATACCTATATATATATATATATATATATATATTAGCTACATTGTTCCAAAACAAATATCTTATTTGAATGTATATAAAAAACATGCATTTATATGTACCACGTAACGTATTTATTACATATTACAAAATTTTATTATAGTTGAATTGAAATATAAAACTTAAAATTATAACAGATGAAGAGAGAAATATTGTTTCTTATATACATATAGTTATAACATACATAGTACAATAATATGTTTGGCCATTAGTATATGCATTTATTTTGTATAATAATTACATTTTATTGCAAAAAATTTGTATTTAAAAAAAATATTTAAAAAAATTTACTCCTGGAGAATTACTCTTGAACCTTCAACCTCGACGGTACCGTGCCTAGCCCGTTGCTGCTACGCCACACGCTTTTCGATATAACCTCTATTCCATACGTATTTATACGGCACTCAGTATTTTTAATTTCAATTTCTCGCGTACGCTTGAAAATGCATTTTATTTCTTTATTCCACAATAATTAAAAGGATTTCATTAAATTGACAAATATAGTCGTACTAAAAAAAAAAAAATTGGCCCTGCGAGGTCTTGAACTCATCTCCTTTAACAACTACGTGTTACCGGCGCTCATCTGTGCACATAGCACGGAATCGAACCACGTACCGTGCACATAGCCTGTTACCACTCGGGAGCATCGTGCACATGGCTACGTAGTTCAATGTGCACGTTTTGTGCACATAGAGGCGCTTTGAATTCCAGTTGCAGCTAAATCGAGGGATGACCGCTCTCATCCTTCTCTCTGCGCGTATTTAGTGAAATAGTGAATATTAATGCTATAACATTGACTGTGTTTTTATGAATAAACAAAGACTAATAATAAATTTTTGAAAGGATAGCTCTCGTTTGTTACTGCATAAACTTNCTTATTATTTAAACTCCAAATCAAAGATCAGGTAAATAAAATTAATATTATTTTCTAATTTAAGAAATTATGCTAAAAATTTAATATATAAGCATATGATTTTATATGCTTCATTAAATTATATGTATACAAATTGATGCGTCTAACTGAAAGTTCAGTAATAGATAGATAGATAGATAAATAAAGAACGCTCAACATGAGAACTCCTTAGATGATTATTTAATAACTTTACTCATATGCGTTGAAATTAATATTAATGTGTCAAGTACGCAATGTGGATATCCCCGACCTCTTTCGACATATCTTGCTGGTTTTTTTCCTATATAAGGAAACAAAATGGAAACCGATAAGAGCACAAAAAAATATAAGTTGGAAAACAGTTCATTAAAGATCGTCACTCGAGTTGGATCGATTGATTGTGTATCGGTGTATCATATAAAATACTATTGCTTTTTCTTCTTTTTTTATTCTAAAATTTTAAAACTTATCTAATTTTAAAATCTATCGGCAGTATATCATGAAACACATTATTGCACGTGAGTATAGCACAATATATAATTTTTTTAAACATATACAGAGAGAATAATATATAATTTCACAGAGAGAATAATATATAATTTTAAACATACAGAGAAATATATATAATTTTTTTCTAAAATTTCGGAATAATATTTTAATTTTAAACTTGTATATATTTTCAACATATTTTTTTGCAAATTTTTATAAAAAACGTAGTAGTCAGTAAATTTACAATATTATTAAAATATCTACATTGCATCTACATTGTGTGGCTTAATTGGTTTAATAGTTGTACAAATATTGACCATGATTTGGTTGGTCGCCTTGCATTCCCGCAAAGAGACCCGTCGAGCAAGATTTCAGACACTATTTATTTTAATAATAATGATGAGTTGAGCAGCACCACACAAAGAATAACAACTACAACTAATTGTCCGTGTGTTGCAACTGCAGAATATAATCCAATATGCGGTACTGATAATGTTACCTATTGGAATATGGGAAGATATAATTGTGCGAAAAATTGTAATCCACGTAAGTAATATTAATTTTATATCATATATTGTTATTGGTTTATTATTTTTTTTATTATCAAATAAGATTGTTAAGACATAATTTAAATATTATGCTTTAATTTTTATGCATGCATAATTTTTAATTATATTTGATATCAATTCTCACCTTTTATATACGTATCTTAATTCTTAATTAATTCTGTTTCATTCTTCAAATTTTTCAACAGTCAGTTCTCTATAAATTTTATCCTCCTTTATTCCTCATCTTTTAATTTTTAAAATTGTTTTCAACTGTTAATTTTCAATAGTTTTACTTTTATTTTTAACTTTTTTTATATCTTACTTTCCAATTATTTTAATTTGCTCATGATAATTGCATTTTTATATCAGGCGTAATTATTGAGCAAAAATTACTTAAATTATTAAAGAAAAAATAATTTTTCAAATTTAAGTAAATTTTGGAAAATATTTTCTGTATTATAAATATTTTCTGTGTGTTTAATTTTATTTAATTAATTATTTATATTTATAATTGCCGTTTGTTTATAATCTTATTTAAAAATTTAAAACATTTTAAGGACTTGAAATAAGGGTGATGAGAGCTTGCGAACCATACATCCAAATAAGCAGTAATTGAATATCACATGGGTTTATTATCGCTTTCATACGACTGAGAAAATGACACAACAGTTTATATAAATACAGATAAATAAGTGAATATATTTGAATATTATATTATTTTTTTATTTACAATGGTAATTCTCATATTGTTTGTATATTACAGATTTATATTATAGCGGAAGTTCTTTCGTAATATGCAAGCGCAATTGTAATCGCAAGTTATTAATACGTTAACTATGACCTTTCAATAAATCTCTGTATGTTTTAATAATCAATATATTGCTATTAATTACAATGTAATTTGTGGAAAACCCATACACTTTGTATAACTTTGCACATGCATAAAGTGTATGAGTTTTCCATGAATTGTAAAGTGCTGTTATACATTATATATAAAGACTGATATCAAATATGCAGAATTTGTTAATTTATTAATATTCTTCCTAAATTAAAATTACATATAATATAACATTTTATTATTTATCATATTATAATATCAATCCAACAACTATATTCATTATTTACATTAACATTCTATTATCAGTTGATTTTAATTTAAGAATGAAAATGAATTATATAATTGTTGAATGATACTACAAAGAGATGATGATTCTGCTAACAGGTACTATTAGCGTTCTTGTGTGTAAAATAAGTCTGACAAATGTTCACTCGCTGAAACGCGATGACTTGAAGAGATTATAATGAAAATGAAAGTTTGTTTTTTAAGAAATTAAGTTTGCCTGTTTTTTAAAAAAGAGCTAGCAGATATTACAATATTAAATAATTTACAAATTTAACTTGATTTGTTAGTTAACGGAATAAAAATCATATCAGTTTATTGGCATTTTAAAATACTTTTTTATTAAACAAAAATCTTCTCAAACTTTTTTATCAGCACTAGTATGCTAATTGTTAATAAAAAATTAATTGTCGATCAAAAAGAGCTGTAAAGTTAGACTGTAAAGTGAATAAGGAAGTAAGTCGTGTTATTGCGCGAAAAAGATGCATACATAACTGTAGTTTGACTTAGCACCGGCTGGCAACCAATGGTATAAAAGGGAACGCAGGTTGATACTTGAAACAGTAGATCGTCGACCTTCGGTAGATCATCTTGCATATATACTTCATTTAATAGCTGTGTATATGATCGGCACGGACTCTCAAGAACGAAACGTCATCAAAATGTTATTTCACTTGTTGCTCGGTGAGAAAATAATTTGCTTTGTGTACTACTTTTTTTGTCAATTTAGTTCTATAATATCGTCAATTATATTTAATAATTTATAGTTGTTACATCACCTTTTCTCATCGCTGCGTTCCCACAAGTAAGTAAATGTTCTTTCGACACAAGCAGAATAAAAGGACTATATCTAAACAATGAAAGATATTTAAACAATTACAATTACGATTGTGTTTTGCATCAAGTGTTCCAAAGTATTTCTTCGCGCCTGTAATTAAAAATAATAATTACACGTTATATCAACAGATATCACAATGTAAAATCTATGTGGGTGAATTTACAAAAATTTATAGGAAATATCGCTAATAGAATTTTTCTGTCTTTTTTTTTTTTTTTTTTTTTTTTTTTAAGATTATATCTATGTTTTTGAAAGAAAAAAAACATTGGAAGTTTAATATTTGAGAATTTAACTCAAGGAGAGAGATATTTAGATAAATCCAAAAATTTGGATTACGGATAATAATGAGATGTCTTAGGATGATTTCGTCTTTGATGGACCTGTCGCTACCATATCACCTAATAGTCAACAAAGGACAACATCCACAACGACTGTGAGATCTAGAAATGAGAATGATGCGACTACTCAATCTGTGAATCAGTACAATGCGTGCGTTAATTCATGCCCGGTAATTATTATCTTTTAATTAGAAATAACGAAACGTATTTTATATCAACGAGGTTTTATGTAAATGTGTTATTTAGTCCGAGAGAATTCTTTAAATAATTATTTATTAGATCGATTAACAAATTAAAAATTAATTAACAAATTTAAAAAAGACAAGGCAAATTTATTTTAATTAATAAAAGTTATACATATATGTACTTTTTCTCGATTTTTTTATTTATCAACATATATTAATCTTAAAATATAAGAAAAGATTGTATAAAACTTAAAAGTTGCATTATTTTAAAGAATAATTTTATTTAAGTCTTGTAATTATACCTATATATTTTAATTGCAGGTGACAAATGAATACAATCCTGTTTGCGGTACGGACAATGTTGATTATACTAATCCAGGAGGCCTTGGTTGTGCGCAAAGATGTGGAAAAGGTATGACACATATCTAATATAAAAGCAAAAATTCCTTATTCAATAATTTAGCTTGTCTTGCTATTAAAAAAAAAATAAGATTACGAATAAAATTAGTTATTATTTACATTCTTTCTATTAGAGAATAAAATCAAAGAAAAAATTGTTTGGTTTAATATTAAAAGTTAAAATGGTTAAATATTTTTAAATTAAATATGTAAATTAGCTTTGCCACCTTTTGATTAACATTAATTATCGTTATTATTTTCTACATTTTTAGTATTTTATCTAAATATCCTTAATTATTCTAGTATACCTAAATAAAGTACAACAACGAATATTTAGCAAATATATTTATTTTTGATTTCTTTATTTGACGATGTTTGTCCTATCGAGAAAAACTTAAAACAAGAAGAAATATAATTACTATACATAAGGCAGTGCGATTATTAAATGGATACATTAAAATATCATAATATTTGATATTTACAGAAGTGACATTAGGATATTATGGACGCTGTTCAACGAACACACGTGGATGATTTACAAATTATCATTAAACGATACAATAATATCATTAGATAGATACAATAATATGATTATAAGAATAAAAAAAATTATCTAGAAAATGTAAGAAAAATACTATTTTACACACAGCATGTACGCATATATTACAAATATATTCATTTACTTTAAGCAAAAGTAATTTGCTTTAAACAAAATAACTGGTGAACACACATCTTATTTTCACTTTGATTTTAAATGACTAAAATTAAGGATACTAAGATTAAATGTATTATAAGCGAATTTTAATCTTTTTAATAATTTTTATTATATCAAGATATCACTGGTATCTTTACTAAATGTCTTAGCGCTTCCGTATTAAAATCACATTTTCGACTGGACACATTGTTTTTTTTAAACTTACGAATTAAAATTGAAAATTTCGTTTTAATTTTACTTGAAAAATTTTGCATTGACTCAATATCTGAGTTTTTTTTATAACGAAAACTTGGAAGAATAAACTAATCATCCGATCGAGGAATCATTTCGGTCGGCCCATCCTCCCATCTCTTCGTGCGATTTCAAAATTTCCTCCATGAATCCCATAAAGATGCCTCGCCAGTATATCAGCTCTGTCTTCTTCAGCCTCAACAGCCATCCTTCTATAACGACGAACTGCTAAAAGACAGCCGACGGTGAGTACAATTTGAATTATTAACCAAAAGATTAGAAGACCCAGAGCCAGACTCGCGTCCACGCAGAAAAGGCCATCTATAGATCCTAAAAATCAATTTAAGTTCTTGTTTAAGCTCTGCGATAATTGCATAACGAATCAGATTCATATGCGAATGGATCTATAGATGTTCCCGATGCTTGGAAGAAGTAAACAATACCAATATTCTTAAACTCACTTCCGCCAGTGATCAAAACCGTATCAGGAACCGGATTTTCCCTGGACAGTAAATGATCCGCTGTTATAACCGACTTTGAACGACGATAGATAGTCGTAAAGGATTGCTGCGTGACGTGAGGCTGAGGTTAAAAATTTCTGTTTACCTCGGCGATGAGCGGCTGCTCGATCGATCGTCGTTTCCTGCCGTACGAAATCTGTCCTCCTCTGCATGTAGTCTTTAAAGAAATCACGACAACTTATGTTTTCATTTGTTAAAGAATTATTTTAATATTTGTTATAATTAATAATTAATATGTTATTTACGAGATACATACATATATAAATATTTATTCCCTACAATTATAATTAAAGACGTAAAAAATGTGTTGCAATATGTTATAAAAAAAATAATAAAATTGTCACTTACCGGCTCACATTCTTCGAGACAAAATCGAACGATGACGTTGAATCGCACAATTTGACTATCCGGAAATTTAAAGGCAGTAAATGTTGAGATCAGAGAACGATTGTCCATTGGATCCTTCAAGAGCGCAGGAAAGGTTGCTGGATCCGTTGGACATCCGGATTCATCAAGAAGAAGATACGAGGAATCTCCGGATGCGCTACTAGCTACGAGGTGTCCAGCTAAGATATCATAAGGCCCTGTAAAAAAACTATTAACGCTTCAATACTCTAGTTAAAGAAAATTTTACTTTGACTCGATTAAAGAGAATTCATAGATGAAAAAAAGAGCGTAAAATTTGACGTATCCTGTATGAATAGCAAGAGACAAGTAAGTGACTCACCGTCAGCAGGTTGAATTTCAATTCTGAGCGTTAGCTTCTGTCCTAATTGAGTAACGACCGCATCCATATTTTCCTCGTTTAGGATTCTCATCGTCACCACCGGTGCTTCGGACGATGCGTTTATTACGATTGATCCAACTGGCGGTACGCCTGCGCTAAAAAGAGTAATCAGAGCCAGAATATCGGGAATACTTGTCACAATATCGAGATAAGATTTTTTGTATCAGACTCGTAATTAAATTATAAAATGGTATTATATTCGTTTGAAAAATCATAAATTAAATTGTACAAAAAAAGGAGATAGAACTTACTTTGGATCCAAGAAAGAAAAACTCGATTGGACAGATACGTTTCTCGGTTCCGGGACATCGCGACCGTCTAATGAACATCCGACTCTCACCGATTGATCTCCCAATCGTTGGATGATCGGATTGTATTGTATCACAATGGTGGCCCAAACCAACGTATGCGTTCTGCAAATAAAAAGCATATCGTGAGATTTAAATGCATGATAATTCAAAATTTTTACTCTCAATTATAGAAATAAATTTAAGAACACAATTAAAAATCAATTTAAAAAGTACCGATTTTCGTTATCAATGGAAAACGCGGGTGTAAGACCACATTCAATGTTAGATTTGCCGATGGACTCTTTTTCGGCAAAGACAATCTTAAGACAGTCACATTTTTCCAATGCCATCAACACCGCAAGTATCTCCATGTCCGCTCACATATATCCGTCCTTCAAAGGGCTCCGTAGTGGTTAATGTAATTGTCATAACTGAGTCGCCGCATTGTACTTTCACTGTAAAATATGACAGTGTTAAAAATTTATTAAGAAATATCGTTTATAAAATTATCTTCTATTTATGGCAAACATACAATCTAAGCAAGCTTCTTGTTCCTTATAGATGACGTTGGGTCTGGCAACCAACGAACTGACTCCAAGACTGATTGTATCATCAGAATGCAGCAAGCAGAATGGTTTCTCCTCCGAATAATCAACGGTGTAGGCTCTGCATATGAAACCATTCTCGCTGCGATCACATTTCTCTTCGCACTAAAAGGATCATAATTGAATCACACAATCGACTCGCTTACACAGGAAACTCGACGGGAGAAATGCGAGAAATACCTGCTTCACGTCGAGCCCTGGTAACGTCACATCCGAGTATGGCAATGTTACGTTCCGAAACTCCGCATAGGAACAATAGCTTTTCTTCGCTGCAAGAAAACATGTACGAATTGAATGCAATTCTACTATTGCAATATCCAAAAAGAAGGAGATTAACGACTTACATATATTATGGCACTGATCTTGCAGATACTCATCTCGATACATCGACGATCTGTAAGCTTGCGGTCTAGTACCTCTCTCGAATTTCGACAAGGAACACGTGCCAACGGTATCGTCGATCGACAAAGGTTCGCTCGTTCGAAATTGCGCAGATTCGCATTCATTGTCTATAATTATAAAAAATGTTACATAATTTATACGTAAAAAATTATTATTCCTCGGAAATTTTTTTATCCATTTGTTTATAATATAAATTAATATCTCGGCACGATTCGTGTAATTATTCTATAGAATGCGTACCTGCTTGTAGACACTTCTCGTAACACTCGCTTCTTCGTAACAATGCTTGATAATATAAGTTGGAATGTCCATCTTTTAAAATAGCTCCCAAAGTTCTTTCTACTTGCCACAATCTTCGCTGCTTGCAATTTGGTGAAACTGAAGCAAAGAATTTTAAAAAGTGCACTTCTGAGTGAGAAAAGTATTGATTCTAAAAGTTTCTACTAGAAGGGAAAAAAATCATGTCACAATTTTCTTTGACATATTTGAAATTTTTTCTCCTGTCACATAATCTGGAATAATCTCACTAATAAATCTCTATGTCGCTTTCGTGCGGAGCTTTACGAGATCAAATGTAACTTGCTTTTACATTCCATGTAGAAAGAGAATATTTAGCTAGAACGTTTTAAATAAATAATACTCTACGATATACATTATACAATATGCTATAATGGAAAAAAAGACAGAGATCTTTACCTTTAATGCAGATTTTGTGAAAAAACGTGGCGTTCGTTTCAGGAATAAGTTCCTCGCCTCTTATTTGCACGCTGTAACAAATGTCCTTGCAAAATCGATCACAAACGCTGTACAATTCAAGCTTTTACACCTGTAATAGATAAATCATTTTTAATTTGCAAGTTTACATATTTATTGTATATGCACGCGAATTTTATTACCTTTGTAAAAATTAGAAATTAATTTTTTTATAAAATATTTTGCAATATTTCAGTTTATAATAATATAATATATAAATCTATTTATCTAAAGATTTAATGATTTAATAATGAAGATTTAATTACATTTGTTTATTACCGTATATTAATTTTTTTATATGTCTAAGCAATCTATTAGTTAAAGTAAAGCGTCTGTTAGAAATTAATTGATAAGTTACCTGTCAAAACAAGGTACGATAATACCGTTGTTACCTATGGCACTATTTTTGTATAATATAGTTTCTACAGCGTTTGCAGGCTTTGCTCCGATGATTTTCTCCCATCCTGTATCTTGATCCTGACAATTCTGAGACCAACCTGAAGGACACAAGTCTTGTAAAGCGTGCACTGCAGTTAAATAGCACCTATGACCTGTGTGTACTTTTCGCACACATATGATACTATATGCATAACAAATTATATTTGCAACTTAAGGAAAGAAAACATCCATGTAAGTAGACTTTATAAATGCAAATTATAAAATTTAGATATCTAATTCAAAATAATTGTGCAAAGAGTAAAAAATGACAGATTACAAACGAGTCAAAAAATGATTTTTACAAATTCCCTTCAAGCCAAGTAGAATTGTCGTTAAAATAATTATCGATAAAGAGAAAATAAAGTTTTTTTATAGTTTTCCTCCAGTATTAGTTTATTACATTTTAATAAAAAAATATTATATTTTATCAAAGATAAAATAGACTTTTTATAATAAATCTAACTTATTCTTACCTGTGCTTAAAGCAAGACTGCAGACGAAAACCATGAAAAGTAAGGTCGTCATTCTGTATCTTTGCACTGCAAATACGACAAGATGAAATCAGTTGCAAGAGTTCGCTCTTCAAGGATTCCTGGATTGTTCTACAAACTTCGAAACAACATCTTCTAGTTCTCAGTCGTGCCGCTGATTTACCTGTATATACAAATATCGTTACGTAAGTCACTATCACTTGTAAAAATTGAAATCAGCACGCATTAACTATAAGTTTCTCGTCGAGTGAAGAAGCGGTCGAATGCGATTATCCGCGTTAAGCGCTTCTTTAAGAACTCCTTCCTATCTTCAAGGTTGTAAGATAATGCAACGTTTCTCATATATAAGCGCGTTGTCCGCTGCATAATATTACGTGTGCCATTTTTACCTCGTGCGCTTTTGGTTCCACTATCTCTTAACACTACGTAAGCACGCGACATAATTTGCGATAGCGATTTACAATGGGATTTATTCTCGTTTGTTAAACACGAAAGTGAGTGCAGAAAAAAATGCTGTCGTGAGCGTGAGCTTATTCCGCGGTTAAAATTTCGAGATAATATATAATTGCAATACGTAAAAAGCGTATCTTTTCGCTCACAGAAGATGAAAGGAACTGATCGTACTATAGAGGTGTAATGCGTATAATTAAGTGTTCTTGCAGAAAAGGACACATTATTATAATGTGCAATACTGATGATTAGTCACACTTATTAAAATGATGATGAGTGATAACAGAATAACAGCTTAGCTATTTCTACATTTCTACGTAACCGTGTGATTAACAGGATATAATTATAAATTATAACTTTATATTTTATAAAGACTTAAGTTAAAATTATATAAAGTTCTAGAATATTATAAATCACAAGATAAAAAATCTTTATAATTTACCAAGTTTACATTAATTATATCAAATCATATATCCGTAAATTATAAAAAAAATATTCAAGGAAAACCTACATATAAATAAAATATGTCAAAGTATATAAAAATAAAAATTTATACTATATATTAGTATCCACTTTAAATAAAAGAATCGGACACAATTTTTCGAAAACTCGCTTCAAATAATTACATATAGAAATTGCAAATATATATAATTTTTTGTTGGCTCTCCGTGCAGCATCCACTCACACGTTCTTATATGCAAATCGCTGATCCGTCATTGAACTCTCTAGTAGCAATTGTCACACTTATCTGAAGTGTGCATAGTCGACAGGTTAAAGATCGGTGGGTCTCCTCTGCAGCTTCGGACGTTCCTCGACGTAATCGAGCCGTGCTCGCGATTCACTCTCGGAGTACATTCGTCGTCCTTTCGTTTATACGGAGAGCGAGAAGCGTTCCACTAACCAACTGCGAGGCGGACACGTAATGAAATGAAAAGCTATCGTGCGCGATCCACAACACGACGGATACGACGAGGAAGAGCAGAGGGGCATTCCGGCCGCGCCATCGAACGATCGGATGCGGCTGGGTAAATACAGCTCCGCGCACACATCCATCCATTCACCGGTATTGTCGTGAAAAAAGAAAGAAAAAAATGATGGCGAGGTCGGCAAACGATTATCTGGGATGTGCTTTGCGCCGCCCAGGTTTAGCGTTCGCTCATCATCGCTGACACAAATTCGGCCTTCGTCGTATCGTTATCGTGGACAGTTACGAAGTACTCGATACTTAAATGAAGTGAAGGCCTGCTGTTTAGGAGGACGCGTATGCTTTGGTTATTAACATACCGGTATATTAAATTGTCTGTCTGATTAAATGCACAATCATCCGGAAGCAAATATACTGGTTTTGCCTGTCGACTCTGGATTTAATTTGAACAAAATCAAAATTTAATATACGCATAAAGAGAAATCCTGGTTATTTTAAAATAAATATAAAAGGGAAGTTAGCTTTTACAATAGAGTATAAATGGATCCAGACACCGCGTCGATTAATACGACTGTCGAAAGAGGTTTCCCACAGTGCAACGACTATACAATTGAACAAGCATCGGAAGCCTATATCGATAGTGAACATCGAAACTAGTGTCCTTCGTTTTACGTAACTCTCTGGCATCGTTTACGCTTGTTAATCCCACAGTAGTATATATGTACATATCGACATAGCAAGACGGAATGTCTAATGTGCACTTCGCAAAATAAGATATCTTTCGAATATATAATAACGATATGATATAAAATTATAGATGTGTTATCAGTAATTCGGTTATATTGTGTATGTGTGCTTTAAAAAATCTTTTTCAACAGAAAAAAAATCGTGCAATCTGCTCAATATAACAATATATTACGTAAAGAAAAAAATCAAGCAAAAAATTTGAATATTTTAAAATTAAGTATCTAAAAATTAAACATTTAATTTTGCAAAATAAATCACTGTCAACCTTCGTCTACTTTTTTGCTGAGAATTCAAGCAAGTAAATTTTCATAAAGTGGAATGCAATTTTAGATGAAATGAAGAATGTTACTGTTTCATGTTCTTATTTTTATAAATAGATTTTTACTGCTCTCACTTCAAACTGATAGCGTTTGCTTCACTTTCATTTTTAATTATCACTCGTTATGTTAATACTTTATTACTAAACATAAGTGAAATCATTGATTTGAGTTTAGAGTTTTATGTCCATTGAGCTGCGGGTATGACGGTCTTACATAAAAAAACGTATTTGTCGCAATGTAACATTGTGTCGCAAAGTAAATGTAACAAAAATTTCCATTTATGAGAATTCATATTTTTTAGTCAGAAAGATATTCTAAATTATATATTCACTAAATTGCTATTGTAATATTATATTACAATAACAATTTCTACTTTATTGTATCTTAAAATTCTTTTAACATTCTTTAATTCTATATTTAATTATTTTTTAACTTCTTTGTTCAATTATTCGCCTTTATTAAATTCTTGTTTTTATCATCCTAATGTATTTTTTAATGTCTGGCAGCGATTTAAATTGCATGTCACACGATTGCTCTTGATATGTTACAGTCTATAATACGATTGTGAAGTTTGAATGGCCTGTATTACAATGACCGTAAACGATCCGATCAATTTTGCGTAAATCGATTCTATCGGAATCGTTTCCGATGAATAATGACGGTGTCATTGGCCCGTATAAATGAGAGTATACATTAACTCGTATTTCCTTAATACGAGTTAATGTATGTAAACGCATTAAATGGAATTTCAAGGGACGACAAATTGCATTTAAATAAAATTCTACGTGTCATTATTTAAATAAAAATTCTGCAATTAATATATTATACTTTTTAATTTGCTATTATAAATATCTTCTTAATTGGCACAAAATTACATTTCAGATACATTAAACTAATCATAAAATGTAATCACTCTTTTTAGAAATTCTAATATTTAATTTATAAAACTTAAATAGAGTTTACATTGTCGACAAAAGGTTTACATAAGCATCACGTAGGCGATACGTAAGCAATTTATGTAAACGTAATTTTGAAATCTACGGCGCCAAGTCTGCATATAAATTAAGCGAAGCCGCGAACCCCGTATACAGATCCGTAACCGACAGACGGCAAAGCGGATCTCGCGCGTCCGATCACGTGACTCGCGTCCGCGCCGCGAGAGGCGCTCCGGCCAATTGGGACGCGAGCGAGCGCGGAGCGAGTGCGAGTCGTCGACTGTCGGGCGAGCAGTCGTGAGCTAGTGGTCGATCCGCTTGTTTTTTTTTATCCTCCATCGGAGCAGTGCGGCCCTATTGCGTTCCGTAACGCGTGAAGTTTTTGCGCGTCACATCTCGGAGTGAATCCCGCGCGCGGAATCCGATCGGCCGGACGATTAAATACGTCGCTAACCTCGAATCGCTCTGCGTAGTTGACGCGCGACGTCAATCGCGTTACAACAAACAACGGGCGTGACGAGAGCGAGCGAGAGAGAGAAAGAGAACGGGAGAGTATACGTCGCGTCGCGTTAAAATGGGAGCTCGCGCGGCCGAAAAGAGGCCAACTTCACGGCGCGTAGTCTCTTACGTGCGCGAAGCGACATTATAAAACAACGAGACGAGAGGAAGAGAGCATCGTGGCGCATCTCGAGGAGGATAAATAAGAAGGAAAAATAAGGAGGAAAAATAAGACGCGCAAAAAAGCGAAAGAGAGAGAGAGAGAGAGAGAGAGGGGGAAAGAGAGCATCGTCCTCCGAAGCGTCGTGTGTTGTGTCCTTGCCACGACACTAACCTTCTAGGCGCGGAACTGTCAAACGAGTGAACGTAGTCTCTCTCTCTCTCTCGAACGCGGAATATGCCATCCTCGCCGCCGCCGTCGTCGTCGTCGCCGTCCCTGTTGTCGTCGTCACCGTCGTCGTCGGTGTTACGCTAAAAATATGCGGCAGTGAGGAAACGCAGACACACGGCGGAGCACCGCCCGCGGCAGAGCTAGGTCCGGCTAGGCCGGAGGCAGAGCGGCAGGTGGGAGAAGAGGCGAGGACGAGGCGGACAGGACTCCGCACGAGACGAGGACGGGACGATAGCCATCCGGTGTCGTCGTGTTTCGCGCGACGAACCATCGACGAAAGGACCACCGAGGAAAATGGCGGACCTCGAGGCGGTGCTGGCCGATGTCAGCTACCTGATGGCCATGGAGAAGAGCAAGTGCACGCCGGCCGCCCGTGCGAGCAAGAAGATTATTCTGCCGGATCCTAGGTATGTCTTTTTCTTCTCTGTTTGTCTCCTTTCTACTCCGCGATTTCCGGTTTAGTAGTGCGTGCGGTTCGATACGATTCGAGAAGGAGGCGACCGCCCGGAGGATCTGTCTCTCTCACTCTTCCTGCCCCTCCCTTCCCTCTCTTTTCCGCCTGTATACTTTCCCTCTTCTTCCTTTATCGTCTCTCTCTCGGGATCTGCTCCGATATGCGTCTCCCTTCGCGACGACGCTTTTAAATCGACTTCTCTTCCTCCTTCTAGCGTTCCTTCCCTCTCCCTTTATAGCGAGTTTGCCGGGGAAAAAATATATGTTTACAAACAGGCCGCGAGAGAGATGCCAATGCGCGATTCTCTCGATAGGGTTCGCGCAAGATCGTCAGGATGTTGGATGGATTCTACGTCGAGAAATAATCGGATGTGTTGTTACACGCGAAGTCGTTTTTTTTTTTTTCGAGAATCGATCTTGAGAATCAATCTCGGAATTGAATTACGTTGTCCGTCTCGCGCCTGAGATGTTTTGACGTTCGAACATCTCTCTTTGAGCGACAATCTATCTCGGATAGATCTTCATCGGAAAGAGATATAGTTTCAATCTCCGTACACAAATATATACGCAGGATATTTTTAAAAACATGTCAGAGATTTTAAGGGTGTATTCTAGGAGTCAAAATAAGAAAGAAAGTTCCTGTAAACACATGGATCCAAAAATATTTTCCCTCCGAGATACAGCCTCGTTAAAGATAGATGAAAAAATCGATAAATATTTTGTAGCTTTCGCAGATTTTTACAGATCGTTGAAAAAACATTTTTCTCAATCTGTGAAACATGTCAGAGATTTTAAGGGTGTATTCTAGGAGTCAAAATAAGAAAGAAAGTTCCTATAAACACATGGATCCAAAAATATTTTCCCTCCGAGATACAGCCCCGTTAAAGATAGATGAAAAAATCGACAAATATTTTGTAGCTTTCGCAGATTTTTACAGATCGTTAAAAAAACATTTTTCTCAATCTGTGAAAAGATTTCCGAAAACTCCAATATTTTATGATTTTTTTCATCCATATCTGGGGGCTACAATTCGTACAAAAAACATTTTTGGATCCATGTGTTTATAGGAACTTTCTTTCTTATTTTGACTCCTAGAATACACTTTTATTTCTGACATAATTTTAGAAATACTCAGTCTATGCTCGCGTGTTAAACTTGGGTTTATTTTGAGAAGATTAAATTCCCGAGATGGGAGATAAATTTTGTTCGATCACAATTTCATTCTTTTTCTCTTTTTATATCCGTCTATTTTGTTCCTTTCTCCGGAAAACCGGAAGATCGGTTGTTCCTCGACCCTCCATCGTCGATCGATACCTCGCATCGATTATAACTTGCTAATGTTTACGCTGCCGGCGTTATTTTGGTCCGCAAACCACGGATTATTACCGAGGGTTTCGCCTCGTGAAAATAAGTCGAGAGTCGGTAGCGGAGCAGGCTTCGTTTTTGCTGGCGACTCGCCAAGCGAACGTTTTCACGTGCACGACCGAAACACTGAATAAGGTAAAACTGCGAGCAGAGCGTAAAAGGGTGATGTCTGACCATATAACGAGGCTAGGAATTTCCACGAACAACGTATCGTATATGTCTCCTGGCGGTGTGTGACATTTTCTTTTTATTTAGCCAGAAAATATGTAGTATATCTCTTTTTACGCAAAGCGAGCGACATTAAAAATATTACGAAAAACTCCGGAAACTTTACACGGTTGAAAATTTGTGTTAAATTTAACAAATATCTCACATGTCTCAAACGGTACCAAACAGAAATTTTTGTTAATTTAACATAGTATATAGATATGTTAAATAGAGACACGAATCTTGTGTTAATATATTTTCACATAAAATAAATGCAAAACGTCAATTAATTTTAAATAATTTTTGTGTACAATTAACAATTTTAATGTAAAAATTTACTAAAAATATGCAAATTTTATATTTTATCATCTCCACTTATATTATAGAATAAAAATTTAACATTTTTTTCTGCAAATTTTAACAGATAAATCTTGTCAGTAATAAAACAGAATGTATATTTATTATATAAAATTAAAAATAGATGTACATTGTGTTATTTTTACATCTTTTTTCAGTTGTTTTAATAATTTAATATTTAAGATTTAAGTTCAATTAATACAACAGTTAAATTAACATATTGAACATATTAACATATGAATATGTTAAATATTTAACACAAAAATTTTAAGGAGAACCGTTTTTAACAAGAAAACACAAATTTTCCTACTGTGAAAGAATGTTGACAAAAGAATGTTGACAGAGATTTAAAAATCCAATAAATTTAATTTTCTCTTCCTCTATCGGAATATTTCAATCATTTTTTAATTTACCTTTATAATCCTTGTAAAGAATATACGTGCACAATAGAATTGCGTTAAGTAATATCCGATATTCGTTTTTTTTGGAACATTTTCGTGACTCATCGATAAGTTTTTTCATAATATTCTTCGTGAGAGCACGAGGCATTTAAAGCAATTAATTATGTAAACAAAGATATGGCTCTGTAACACATCACAGAGAAATGTAACATCTTAATGTAAGCAAACAACATTAAAGCGTTTGACGGACATATCGAGCTGCTGGCGATTTCGAAAGAAAACATTTTCAAAAACAAATCGCGCGTTAATGGTTTTATTTTTAACTCCTTTCAATTTCGGAATATAATGCTATTTATTCAGATTAGAAAAGAAATTAATTAACAACATTAAAGCGTTTGACAGACAAATCGAGCTGCTGTGGATTTCGAAAGAAAAATGGTCAAAAATCAATTGCGCGTTAATGGTCTTATTTTTAATTCCTTTCAATTCCACGATATAATGCCATTTATTCAGATTAGAAAAAAAATTAATTAACAACAAAGCGGACACATCGAGTTGCTGGCGATTTCGAAAGAAAAAAATGTTCAAAAACAATAAATCGCGTGTCTTATTTTTAGCTTCCTTCAATTCCGATATAACGCCATTTATTCAGATTAGAAAAAAATTAATGCAATAGTCGTGTCACACACAGTCGGAGAGAATTCCTTGCCGGAGAGTCGGATAAGTATTTGGCGCAACCCCGCCGAACTTGGTGCGTGAATGAATGTTGCGTGCCGAATATCGGATTACACATTGTGACTGTGTACGCGAGCGCGTGTCTATCGGGGAAACTTCAAAAGCCGATAATCTTAAGCATTTTGAATGCGCGATACGTGTCTTTCCGCCGAATAATCGCTTCAATTACACGGTATTTACGCAAACGGAAGTTCACCAGCGAATAGCTTCGTAGAAAGGGTATCGATTATTCTACATAGCATATATTATATATGTATATATACATATGTATATATACATATATATATATATATATATATATATATATATTATATACATATATATATTTTACATGAAAGTTCGCTAAACTGTGTATTCGCCTAGGAGCAAAGTTCTCGGAGCGTGATCGATCCTGGGCAATTCCTTCAAAGCCATCGACACCGAACGGTAGCGGCGTAATTAATCGCGTATAGACATTTGATTGCCGTCAAATATACGTAGGTATACATATATAGATCTTCCCGCCCGCCATAATCTATGTATAATGTCCTATACAGGGCGCATATTTAAATAAGTGCGAACAATTTTAGGAGATTCTTTGTGAAAAATTTAATTCTCTTTTTTATATATAAGAGGGAGGTAAAAATTAAGTTTTTTTTCTCAAAATTTTAGACAAATTAAAAAAGTGAAACTTAGTGGATATTTTCAATATTTTTTTTAATATTAATATCTAAAATTTTTCACACTTATTTAGATACACCCTGTATATACGTCTCTGCGATCGGAAGAATCATACAACACGGGAATACAATTTATTGTGTGCGAGCCTCGTATTACAGTCAGAACATAAATAATCTCACCCTTAAGGTCGGCGCAAAGGTCGAATTAAAATTGATCTAACAATAAGTGAAATTACTTTTGTGTACGACGGGACAACATAGCAAAACACACAGCTGCCATATATACAATGTGTGTGTGTGTGTGTGTGTATTATAGTTTAGCAAACGAGTTTTTTTTACGGGCGAGATCGATACCATTTCTATGATTAAGCAACGAAATTTATTATCGTTTAGAATTGCATACGTTCGCGCGTTTATTCCGCGATAAGTAAATCATGAAACGTCACGTATTTTTCGGGGCCTTCGTAATATCGTCGAACATTTTTCCGTGGAAAATATGCGTATCGATCGATCTGCGATAAAAAAAGTGCAATTTTTCTCCGGCTACTACTACGGTGTGTGTGTTACGAGCGTAAAAAAAATGTTTCCGATTTTCTTTAACCTTCGGTTATTATAGCGGGATCAGATCCGACCTCGATGGATACATTTTAGAAAATGTCAGAGTGCGCGAGTTGTTTTTAGCTCATTATTTTTGTAACGCTTTATAACATTACGAACGCGGCTAATTTGTATTATTTATTATTTCTTATCCACAGGCGATCTTTAAGAAATAAATTCGAATAAAAGAAGCCACATCACCTCCTTTTTCTCTTTCTCTCTCCCTCTCTCTCTCTCTCTCTCTCTCTCTCTCTCTCTCGCTCTCTCTTTCGCGCCAAAAATTGGCGGCGGTGATTCATCGACGATTTCGATACCGGAACTGGTCGCAAATCGATATACCGACGCTATTATAGAAAGGAAAAAATACACGCGTGATGTATAAACCGAGTTTGAGCGACCGAATGGGGACACAGTGTGCTGACGGTCTTTTTTTCTCAAATAAACTGTAACCAGGTCATATGCTTAGTTTACGTAGCGTAGTAATCGCTGAGAAGCTTAGTCGACTAATATTAGACTAAAATTAACCCCGACTAAAAGCGTTGACACTGGTCGAGTATACTCGACTTGTCACATCGACCCAGTCGACCGTTACGTCGACTGTAAATCCGGTATAAGTCAACGTTAACGCGCTGT